GGTTGCTAACATTTCTGTATCTCTACTGAAACACATGCAGAGAACAGCATCATCCATCATCATGAAATTATCTTGGGCCTGGTACTTAAGATCCTAAGGGAAATGATAGATAGTAGTTATCAAAATAACACAGAAGCCACGATCCCAGTAGACCTGGGACTCTAGAAACTCACTAGAAACAGGAAAATGAAATGCATCCACTCTAATCATCCAAAGCAGACAACAGTGCTGTGTGTGCATTTCTAATGAACAACTGATACTGCCAGGAATAAATAGTTTTACATAATACAAACTAATACTGTAAAAAATGCCAACATAAGCCAGGTTTGGTGGTACACATCTGTAGTCCCAGCTACTCAGGAAGCTGAGGCAGGAGGACTGCTTGAGCCGAGGAGTTCTACATCAGCCTGAAACATAGCAAGACCCTCCACTCTCTTAAAAAAAAAAAAAAGCCAACAAAATACCCTAGTCTGTTTACTAATCTTTTCAAGGCAAAATTACTCTATAGTTTCATATTTTACATCATTAATAAACCTGAATCTACTACTTTGAGTAATGACATGAAAAAGAAAACTAATATTTTCCTCCAAAGTGTCAACTCCTTTTCCTAAAACCATTTGCTGACTTTGTTATTTGTGATGCTTCTTTTATCATATTTTATTGTTCAACAGAAATATCCTTTTTTTGTTGCTGTTTTTTCTAACTAACTATAAAGTAAGACTGCTTCATGAAAAAAAAAAAAAAAAAGGCAAACTACTGTGTAAAGTACAAAGTGAAAATCACTCACAAATCCACTACCTGTGGAGTAGAACTTAGAAGTCTATGTTAAAGATTACGTTTTAAATCAATGGATAGGGGTTGGGATTGTGGCTCAGCGGTAGAGTGCTCATCTAGCATGTGTGAGGCCTTGGGTTTGATCCTCAGTGCCACATAAAAATAAATAAACAAAATAAAGGTATTGTGTCCAACTACTTCTAAAAAATAACTATTAATAAAATAAAATAAATCAATGGATAAAAGTCAATAAATAGCTATTTGAAAAAAACATTAAGTTGGATCTATACCAATTTTATCCTTAACAAATTCCTCCAATGAGTCAAACACTAAATATAAATCATAAAAATACTAGAAGAAATTGTAGGAGAAAAGATGGAAAAGTTTCATCTGTAAAACAAAACCATAAGCAAAATTAAAATATAAAGCCAAAATCTTTGCAATGCATATTCTGAGTTCCTCSATACCCAAGGCTCCTACAAATCAATTTTAAAAATGTCCAACAGAAAAATGAGCAAAGGATATTAACAGACTTCACAGAATAAGAAACACTGGTAGCTTTTCACATGTAAAACCATGTTGATTCATAATAAGAGAAATAGAATTACATTAAATTGGGGCTGGGTTGTGGCTCAGTGGTAGAGTGCTGCCTAGCATATGCGAGGCACTGGGTTCGATCCTCAGCACCAAATAAATAAATAAATAAAGGTATATTTTTAAAAAATCACATCAAAAAATATTTTTAAAAATATTATGTTAAACTGAAAACAATCTTAAATATGGTTCAATCCATGCAATGAAATATAATACCAGCAATTATCTGCAAGATATACTATAAAGGGAAAAGTAAGAGGCATAACACAGTATACATATATATCCTACCATCTGTATTTTTTAAAAATGGAAAAGGAAATATAGTAAGTAACTGCTTGCACAAATATAGAATATTCTGGGAAGGTTACGCCAGAAACTGGAAACCCTGCCTGGTCCAAAGAAAACTGACTGGTTAAGGGGCATGGATGGAAATAAAACTCTTAAATAAACTTATTCTGTTTTTTGAATGTGTTATCAGATGAACATGTTACGCATTTAACATAAAGTTTTGGGCTGGGGATGTCATTTAGTGGTAGAGTGCTTGCCTACCATGTATGAAGCCCTAGGTTAAATTCTTAGCATAGCAAAAATAATAATTTTACATATATATATACACACACACACACACACACACATTTTTATATAAATGTCTATATAAAAATTATAAAAATAATAGGTAAGCAACTATAGCTAACACAGGTCCTCACTTTTGTTATTAAATTTACAGTTTAATTAAAATTACTGTGTGGCTTGTAATCCCAGCTACTAGGGAGGCTAAGGGAGGACAACTGCAAGTTCCAGGCCAGCCTAGCAATTTAGCAAGAACTTGTATCAAAAGAATAAGGGCTGGGGATATAGCTCAGTGGTATAGTAATTGCCTAGCAGGTTTGAGGTCCTAGGTTTAATCCCCAAGCACTACAAAAACAAAAGCAAAAAAACTTCAAAAGGATTTTAAATCACTAAAGTACTACACATGCATTACATACAGAACCTTCTTCAAATAATCTATGCCTTAGAAATAATCAGTCTGGGCTGTAACTCAGTGGTAAAGCACTTGCCTCACATGTGTGAGACACTGGGTTCAATCCTCAGCACCACACAAAAATAAATAAAGATACCGTGTTTTCATTTACAAGTAAATAAATATTTAAAAAAAAAAAAAGAAAGAAAGAAAAAGAAAATAATCAGCCTGAGGAAAAACACATAGATAATTAGAAATAAGGCATAGATAATTCAAAATCAGTAATTCTTCAACTGGGAAAATTAGTTTTCATATTTAAAATACTTTACCTTCCTGATTTTTCCGGTAGTAAAGTTCCATACTTCAATGAATCCATCAACAGACCCAGTGACCAGATACTGACCATCTGGAGAAAATCGAGCACACTCCACATGTGATTTCTGACCAAACTGTTTCAAATGAAACATAAAACATGCATTTTTATCTAGTGAACTTAAAAAACAATTTCCATTTTAACCTTACATATAATCATAGCTGGTCCATATTATGGAATACTAYAGGGAAGTATCTATACCTGAACAGAGGGAGCTGATAGATAGGTTTCTAATTATGAGATTGTTATTTTGAAAGAAAAAGGAAAAAAAAACTATTTTAACAGGGTATTTAGAACAAATAATCTTGTTAATTCAGACCATAGTTTTTGCTAGATCAGCTTCTTTAGTATATCTCTCACATTCAACTTACTATGACCTAATATGTTCCTGTGCATCTGGAGAAAAACCTCTTATTTCCAAAATAAAAAAACATATTTTCCTATACTACTTTGCAAACAAACTTCCCATCACTGTTTCATAACCTTCATTTAATAATGTGATAATGTGTTTCTCATCAAATTGAGGACTAATTATAGAACATTAAACAGATGGGAAGAACAGAGAAAAGCTCTAATGTAGATTTCATTTTCAATGCCAAAAATAAAATATTTATACCAGAAAACCTTGATCTAGAGGCATAATTATAATGGATTTATATTTGTCTGAAGGTTTCAGCCAAGTTAGATAAAGGTGCTCCTCAAAAATATGCTACATATAAATTAGAACATATAATCCAGAAAAGACAAATTCAAAATGCTAAACCAAAGTGAAAGATTTGAAGAATATAAAATATTTTTAAATCAATTTCATTTGAGTAAAAACCCAGAGAGAAAATGTAATATAAAGGAAATGCTAAGGTAACATATATTCATAATTCTGGGAACTGCAGCAATTACTTGATTATGCTCTTTCCTAGAAAAGTACCAGATTAAAATTTTAAAATAAGGACTCAGATGAAGATCAATGTTAGAGCACTTGCCCATTATGTATGAGGCCTGGAGTTCAATCCCCAGCACCACACACACACACACACTAAAGAATCAGAATTAGACATAAGCCCACTTTATAACCCCACAACTGGCACTTTGCCTGACAGGCACCAGGCAAAAACACAAATATTTAATAAGACAAGTATATAGAAAGTTCAGGGCTGGGGATGTGGCTCAAGCGGTAGCGCGCTCGCCTGGCATGTGTGCGGCCCGGGTTCGATCCTCAGCACCACAGGCCAACAAAGATGTTGTGTCCGCCGAGAACTAAAAAATAAATATTAAAAATTCTCTCTCTCTCGCTCTCCTCTCTCACTCTCTCGTTAAAAAAAAAAAAAAAAGAAAGTTCAGTTTGTCCCAGGCTTAAACGAGGAATTAACCATTCTTCCAAATGCAGGTTTCATGAGAAGAAATGCAAAGGCAGATGATGGGCCAGATGTCAAATAATATACCAATATGTCCACTTGGTTACACTTCTGAACTATGCCGCTACTAAGACAAAGCAGTACCTCAGTGAACATGAAAAGTAAACTTGACTGCTGTCAGAGTAGAAGATTGAGTTCACCTCCCCAGTACCAAGCTCCTGACATAGGGTTTAGCTGAGCCCATAAGTACTCTACAAATGATTACCATCTGGCTGATCTAAAGATCTTACCTTAATATGCCTGCTCAGCTGTGTAGGAAACTTTTCCTCTTCCACATCTTTGACAGCTGCTTTGCCTCGAAACAAATCTATAGTCATACCAGGAGGAAGCAACCCCTGGTGCTGCTGCCACTTTAGTGCCTATGAAAAAAGAAAGTTCAGCAATCCACTTAGGTGCTTTTAAAGTCTGGGCATGAAAGCTCAGATAAAAACCAAGCCTGTTGTGATGAGGTCCAGAGGAAACTGAGTCTTTCAGACCCCAGCAGTCTTTGGCCATCCAAACACAACAAAAACTGTGCTTTTCAGTGTGTCTAAGAACACAGGCTGGGAGGGCACTCTAAGAACCAACAAGTCCATCAATTCAATACCTACTTTCCTTACATGAGCAACTCTTTTATTATAAACAAAACTGGGAAAACAGAAACTTCCCAAAGTTCCAAATATTTAAACACAGCAACAGTTAATTTTATATTCTCTTGTTTTCGGCTATCATCAGATCACACTATGACACAACTATCATTGGATTGTTATACCTTGTGTGATACCCTGTCTAGTGGATGTTTCAGGGTTTACTTAATCAATATATTACACTGCTTCCAACTTTGTTTTCTTTCCAAAAAACTTTGTTTTTTAATGTGGTGTTGAGGATCAAACCCAGTGCCTCAAACATGTGAGGCAAGCACCCTACCACTGAGCCACAACCCCAGCCCTGCTTCCAACTTTTTTCTCATCTAAATAATGCTGCACTGAACATCTCTGGATATAAGACAGAGTATATTTCCCCACTGAGTATATTTCTAGAAGAAAAATTTCTGAATCCAAAAAACGGAACACGAATGGTTAAGACTCTTGATGTAGGGCTAGGGATACAGCTCAGTGGTAGAGTGTTTGCCTACATGCTCAAAGTCACAGGTTTGATCCCCAGCACCAAAAAACCTAGACACAAGAAGTTCCCATGTTCTATTAACTATGGGTGACTATGAATAACCGTAATTTGCTCTATATTTAAAAAAATGCTATAAGAAGTGTGGGGCTGGGGGGGTTGAGGCTCAGTGGTAGAGCACTCGCCTAGCACGTGCAAGGCCCTGGGTTTGATCCTCAGCACCACATAAAAATGAATAAATAAAACAAAGGTATATTATGTCCCACTATAACTAAAAAATAAATATTTTTTTTAAAAAAAGTCAGATGTGGTGGCACACACCCATAATTCCAGTGTCTTGGGGACTGAAGCAGAGGGATCCAAAGTTTGAAGTCAGACTAGCCTTGGCCACTTAGCAAAACCCTATCTCAAAAAAATGAAAAAAAAAAAAAAAAAAAAACCAGCTGGGGAGCTACAGATATAGCTCCAGGGATCAAGTGCCCTAGGATTCTATCCCCAGCATCACAAAAGAAGAAATTTTAAAAAGGAAAAGAAAGAAAAGCTAGGAGTTTAAATGTTTTCACCATAAAGAAACAGTAAGTACTTGAAGAGATAGATATGTTTACCCTGATTTGAACATTATACAATGTATACATGTATCTAAATATCACAAGTTACTCCATAAGTATGTATAATTTTTTGTGTCAATTAATTAAAGAGGAAAAAAGAAGCCTAACTCTGAACCTCAGAATCAGCACAAACCTAGGGAGGGGGTGTAGCTCAGTGGCAAAGTACTTGCCTAGCATGGGCAAGGTCTGGAATTCAATTCCCAGCACCATATACTCATATCCGAAAAAGAAAAAAAATCACTACATATAAGTGATAAGATTTTTGGTCCTTTCAAAATGCAGATTTAGCACAAAGAAGCTATTTTTATCCCTATTCACTGGTGATCTTTGCTATTTGTAAAACATCTATTATTCTAGGTCGTTTTATAATAACAACAATGCTAATAAGCCATAAGTCCTCAACAATGATTACCATCTGGCTGATCTAAAGATCCTACGTTAATATGCATTAATATTTAATGTTAAAAATACCACTATTACTATTAAAAAAAAATCATCACAGCAGCTACCATTTACTATTTATTAGGTGCCAGGCAACATATGAAGTACTTCAAGAGCATTATCTCATTTAATCTTTACTACACCACCACAAAGAATGAGATCAGAATAGCTGTGACTCACCAAGACCATATAGCTGGTGAGTGAGCTTGGATTCTAACCAGAGTGACCATTTATTCCAATTTCCCCAGGACAGTTCTCACTTGCACCTGATATCTTGACATATTGATCAACAGAATCATCAAAGATATCCCAGACAGGATAATATGTTCAATCTATGGTCACACGAATTCTGACACTAGAGCTTTTTATTTTTTTATCCCATCCCAGAGTTTATGTTCTTAACCACTAAATGACATTGCCTCTCCCAGGAAGGGGAAAAGTGGCCTAACACAGCTGCTGACACACAAATGGAGCACAGCTTCTCATTTCTCTGGTAGTATACAATATAGAGTTGCACCATATGTGCAGTCATACATGTACCTACCTAGGGTAATGATTCTCATTCATTCCTACCCCCATGTTCCCTCCCCTTTGCCCAATCAGAGTTCTTCCATTCTTCCCATGCACCCCCCACACCCCCATTATGGATCTGCATCCACTAATCAGGGAGAACATTCAGCCTTTGGTTTTTTGGGATTGCTTACTTCACTTAGCATGATATTCTCCAACTCCATCCATTTACCTGCAAATGCCAAGTAATGCCCAATTCTTATGGTGTCTGATTTCTTTAGCTCAGACATATATCTTACATACAGGAAACGGTATGAGAAGTTCACAGTAATTTCATGGGTATTTAATTACCTGTCCCAGCAATGCCATGAGACGAGATGGAGGCACCACACTAACTTCCCCAGCTAAGGCCTGGGCAATTGCTGCTCTTCTCTTCTCTTTGCTACTTCCATCTGGATATGCCTAAAAAAAAGGAGAAGAGGTGGCATTATTACCAAGAAACAAGAAGACATTAATGTGCTTATTTAAAACAAAGAAACAAGCAAAAACATTCAAAGAGGGAAACATGAAAAGAAACTACCCAGGTAAACAGAGAATTAATTAAACCAATTTAGTTTGTTTTTTTTTTTTAATGGCTTCCCAATTTTGCCCACTTGCATTTCAAAAGTTTGAGCTAAGAGAACTGAAGATGTCAAATAATCCACACTGTTATTTCTGAAAAAAGAGTCCAGATAAACCATGTCAGAGCAAGAGATGTTTTAACAATTTTTAAAACTTTTCAGGGTCAAGAATTTTTTTTTTTTTTCAGTACATAGGATTGAACCCAGGGCCTTGCATATGTCAAGCAAGCACTCTACCGCCGAGCTATACCCTCAGCCCTCTTTTATATTCTTTAGAAATTTACTTTAATCTAACAACACCTAGCTCAGAAGCATTTCACCACTTCCCTAACATAAATTCTGTCCTGGTAATCAAAAAACTCCTTTCTTTCATTCTCATGGTTTCTGTAAGTTTACTTTAATTTTCTATTATCCAGTACCTATTAAATTCTTCCTTTTGACAATCCTCTGTGGAAGGTTAGGGGTATTTGTCACACACATCCCTACATAAATAAAATATGTTTTAGAAGAATAAGATAATCATGCTGGGTGTGATGGTGCATGCCTTAATCCCAGCAACTGAGTGGCTGAGGCAGGAGGATCACAAGTTCAAGGCCAGCCTCAGCAATTTAGTGAGCACCTAAGCAACTCAGCAAGAGCCTACCTCAAAATAAAAAATAAAGGGACTGAGGATGTCATTCAGTGTAAAGCACTTCTAGATTCAATCACCACTGCCAAAAAAAAAAAAAAAAATAGACATAATCAGCTCAAAGGCAAAAGCACAAGCTTTCTGAGAATGGAAGAGGCTAGACATAAACTGCAACTGTCAGGGGCAAGGGACACAAATGTTCAGTAAACATCCATCAGTCTGGCAGCATTTCAGGGCCAGATAAGTACTTGGGCTAATGTGGAAATGACATCAGAACAAAATTTGTTGCTCCTTTTTTGTGTTTTTATGAAATTCATTTTTAAAATTTATTTATTTATGTATGGGGGATAGAACCCAGAGGTGCTCTACCTTTTTGTTTTTTATTTTGAAACAGGGCCTTTTTACTCTTATTTTGAGACAGGAACTCACTACGTTGATGTGGTTGACAACTTGAACTTGCAATCCTCTAGCCTCAGCCTCCTATGCAGCTGGAATTACAGGTATGTACCACCTTACCTGGCTAATTGTGTTGTTTCTTTACTAACCAACACACAATCCTCAAAAATGATGATGTATATACAGAAAAGACCCTCAAATACTCAGAAAACTGAACAGGACTATTTTCTTTAACATATGCACATTTTTCAGTCAACATATAAACAGAAAAGCATCATTCTCAAAAATTAAATCAAAACCACAAAGTGTCTAATAAATTATTAAAAATAAAAGACCACATTATTGCATATTTTATATTTTCAGTTAATAAATTTATTTTCATTACCACAGTCATACCTCACGAGGATCAAAATAAGACCTTGCCAAGAGGTTCTCCAGATGAATATACCGCTCTGGCTGTGTTTGTTTTAACATGATCATGGGGTCAGTCTGTCTCAGAAGTGACCTAGCAGCACCCAATTCACGGAGCTCTATCAATTCCAGAACAACCTGGATAATGGAAAGAAAATGGATATTTCAACACATTGTTATAAATATTTCAATTCCCCAGTTAAATTTCTCCCACATACACAGCCTGCCCAAATGATATCCAATACTGGGAAATGCCCCTTTTCCTTTTCACTAGTAGTTTTTAGTGGACAATTAAAATAACTATAAATAACAACTTCAATTCTTCAAACTCCACTTTTCATTTTTATCTGCTAATCTCTTCTCAGCCTTCTTGCTCATAGTATATATACTAAAAAAAAAAAAAAAAAAAATCAAGGTGGGCAAGTTTATTGTGGTGCATACCTGTAATCCCAGTGATTCAGGAGGCTGAGGCATGACCATTTCAAGGTCAAGGCCAGCTTGGGCAACTCAGCAAGACCATCTCAAAATAAAAAAGTTCCGGGATATAACTCAGAGGCAGAAAAAAGAAAAGTACCATAAAAAAAGAAAAGAAAGCAAACTAAAGGTAGGAATACCTCCATGGGCTCCAGAGAAACTTTCTCCAGTTACTAAAACTTTGTTTGGGGAATTACTGAACTTATGTGAATTATAAAGAAACAAATCAATTATTCTATTTTTTACTTCAAACAATACTATAATCTTATTTCCAGAAAATCCATTCTGTTCTGTTTTTCTGTTTTCCTACACAACAAAAAACTAATGGTTATTCCCTTCTTGTCAATTCTTATTTTGTAAGATTTGTGTGTGTGTGTGCGTACATTTTTGTTTTGGGATTTGTTTGTTGGTACTAGGGATTGAACCCAGGGGTACTTTATCACCGAGTTATATCCCCAGCCCTATTTTATTTTGAGACAGGGTCTCACTAAATTAATGTGGCTGGCAACAAACTTGTAAACCTCTTGTCTCAGCCTCCCCCAAGTCTTTGGGATTAAAGGCATGCACCACTACACCCAGCTGCTTGTGTATTTTCTTTTTTTTTTTGGTGGCAGATGGACATAATACCTTTATTTTACATGGTGCTGAGGATCAAACTTCACACATGCTAGGCAAGCGCTCCACTACTGAGCTGCAACCCTAACCCTTGTGTGTTCTTAATATGTAATAATTTGATTTTTGTCCTAGGATCCTAGCTTAAAATCCTTGGCATTTTGCCAGTGACTGGAGTATCTCTGTTACTCATAGGGTCCTTTGGGGGGGCACGGGAAGAGACAGTACCAGGGATTGAATTCAGGGCCACTCGACTACTACTGAGCTACATCCCCAGCCCTATTTTGTATTTTATTTAGAGACAGGGTTTCACTGAGTTGCTCAGAACCATGCTGGCTTTGAACTCAAGATCCTCCTGCCTCAGCCTCCCAAGCCACTGGGATCACAGGTGTACGCCACCTCACCAGCTCATGGCTTCTTGAATCACATTGGAGTTTATGCTAAGGCAGTGGCTCAGGATAGGGACCAGTTACCAGAAAGACCAACCATGTAACTACAAGGTTAAGACTTTGAGCTCACCCAACCTCTGGAGACAAGGGGTACTGAAAATTGGGGCTGGAGACTTAATTATCAATCATTTCCACATAGTGAAGCCCCAATAAATAATTCAATGGAATCTCCTGCTTGGTGAACACACTGACATGCCAGGTTGGTGGTATGCCCCAATTCCACAGGGATAGCTCAAAAGCTATACAATCAGGACCCCCTCAGACTTTGCACTGTATGTCTCTTCATTCAGCTGCTTCTTATCTATATCCTTAATGATAAAACTATAATCATTAAGTATAGAGTTTTTCTTAGTTCTAGTGAATTATCAAGCCTGACCATGTCAAAAGAACCCTCAAATTTATAGCCATTCCATCAAAAGTGCGGGTGGCCTGAAGACCCCCGAAGTGTAGCTAGTATCTGAACTGAGGACAACCCTGTGGAAGAAAGAAAGCAAGTCATTCAGTTCAGGAATTCTCACTCTCCAGAAGCCTAAAAGTAAAGCCTACCCCAGCTTATTTCTCTACTTAATGGTCCTCCTTTATCAACTTTCCATCTCTTTATCATGTGAGAAAAACTTCCAAAAAATTGTAGAATCAGCATTTAACTTATGGAGTCTGTGTTAATTATAAGTGTTAGTGACAGAATTAAGCCACAGTACAGCAGTTGGTATCAGAATAGTTCATTTAATAATTCATTAAATGATAACTTAAGAAATAATTTCAGATTGCACAGTGGCACACATCTATAATCTCAGCTGCCGAGTAGGCAAGCAGTGAGTCTCTGTCTCAAAATGTAAAAAAAAAAAAAAAAAAAATTTATAGGGACAGGTATATAGGTCAGTGAGAGTGTTTGCCTAGCACATGTGAGACCCTAGATTCAATTACAAGTATCACAAACAAAACCAAAAAAAGGGAAGAATTTCAACTTGGGAAAATCTTGGGTTTTTCAAGAAAGAAAGACACTGTCAAGCCTTGAAGTGTAAGTTTTACAGGTAGTTATAGCCCTATAGTGTTTAAAGGAATGAATGCTTATACTTGAAAGACAGGGGGCCATCCCACAACAAACCAATACATGGGGATCAGCAGCACCATCACTCTTACCTGTTCATAAAGGTCAATAAGGGTTTTGTCTGGCAACTTCAAGGACTGTATAGCCTGTAGAACAGTATCCCAATGACCACTGTTAATGTCAGCCACAAAACTCTCAATGCTGTCCACAGTATTCAGAGACACAGTAGTCTCCTCCTGTAAGGTGGCCAATGCCCGATGTAAACTGTTCTCCTTCAGGTACTGCATGATCAGACGGATCACACTGAAAGAAAGCAAGTCATTCAGTTCAGGAATCCTCATTCACCAGAAACAAAAAAGTAAAGCCTACCCCAACTTATTTCTCTACTTAACGGTCCTCCTTTATCTACTTTCGATCTCTTTATCATGTGAATAAAATTTCCAAAAAATTGCAGATTCAGCTAAATGTGGTGGCACATGCCTGTGTTGCAGCAACTCAAGAGGCTAAGGCAAGAGGACCTCAAGATCAAAGTCAGCCTTGGCAACTTAGCGAGACCCTATCTCAAAATAATACAAAAAGAAAAAAATTTAAAAAGGGCCAGAGATGTAGCTCAGTGGTAGAGCACACCTGAGTTTCATCCTCAAAACCAAAAAAAACAAAATCACAGAATCTTAGTTCCAAAGGACCCCTCCCCAACCCTGCCCCACATCCTAAAGTGAGGAGAACTGGAATTCAAAGAAGAGAAATCATTTGCCAAAAGTCTCACAGTCAAAAAGGGAGTTGGTATCAATGTGACTCTTATTTCCTAGGTCAGAACCCACTGTCTTATTAATTCTTATCATATAATTATTACACACTTTTCGTGAAAAAAAAAATTCTTTTTCTAGTATTGGAGATTGAATCCAGAGGCACCAAATCACTAAGCTACATTCCCAGAGCTTTTTCATTTTTTATTTTGAGACAAAGTATTGCTAAGGTACCCAGCCTGGACTCAAACCTAGAATCCTCCTGCCTCAAGTCACTGGGTCTACAAGCATGTACCACCATGCTAGGCCTCATGATATATTTTTTTTAATATCTTTATTTTATTTATTTTTATGTGGTGCTCAGGATCGAACCCAGGTCCTCGCACATGCTAAGTAAGCACTCTACCGCTGAGCCACAACCCCAGCCCGTCATGATATATTTTAAACCTATGTTAATCATAGATAGAAAATCATCTAAATGATTATAGAGGATGATTTGGTCCACTGACATTAAGACAAACAAAACAAATCATGAACTAAAATTATCTTACTAGGGATTTGTGGACCACAAATAAGTACAGTCATACTGTATGTATAAATAAAGCTACGCATTTGCAAAAATAACAGTTTTTATTATCAAATCTTCAAGACAAGTGAAATAAAAACATCATGGAACCAATTTCCCAAGAAAAAGAGGACCAAGACAATTTTTGTATATTAAAAGAATAAGAAGGTGGGCACCATAGCACACACCCATAATCCCAGAACCTTGGGAGGCTGAGGCAGGAGGATCGCAAGTTCAAAACCAACCTCAGCAACTCAGTGAGGCCCTAAACAACTTGGCGAGACTCTGTATCAAAATAAAAAGGGTTAGGGGGCTGGGGCTATAGCTCAGTGGCAGAGTGCTTGCCTAGCATGTGTGAGGCACTGGGTCCCATCCTTAGCACCACATAAAGATAAACAAATAAAATAAATGTATGCTGTCCATACACAACTACAAAAAAAATATTTTTAAATAAACAAATAAAAGGTATTCTGTCCATCTACAAATACAAAAAGGGGGTTGGGGGGCTGGGGATGTGGCTCATGGTTAAGAGCCCCTGGGCTCAATCCTGGTAACCCTCCCCACCTCCAAAAAAAGAATAAATAATCACTGCCAATATATGACAGAAATAACTTATAAGTATTTTATATTTGTTTTTAATTAAATACAGTTACTTATAGTACAAAAATTTTTAAAGGGCAGGGAATATAGCTTGGTCCCCAGCAAGGGGTAGAGGGAATCACTGAATAGTGTTGATACATTGTTTTCCTTCTCTTTCTTTAAAGTAAGCATGTGGCTCCCACTGTATCTGTATTGGACAGCACTAGTATAGAGGGCCAGAATAATGGCTGTAAAGACTTCAGATTGGAATTTAATCAATTCCCTTTCTCAGAAAATAAATAATAATAATACAATAACCAATAGTATATATTTACTCTCTAACAGGTACTGCTCTAAACCATTTTAGATATATTCATTTACTTCTCAAAAAACCCTATGACAAAGAGAGGTACTGGGGAATGAAATTAGTCAAATTACATTTTTGTCTTAAAAATATTTTTTAGTTGTAGACAGACACAATATCTTTATTTTATTTATTCATTTTTATGTGGTGCTAAGGATCGAACCCAGTGCCTGACACATGCCAGGCAAGCACTTTAGCACTGAGGCATAATCCCAGCACCCCAAAATTATGTTAGATGCATGTATTATCTATATGCATGCCACAATGAAACCCACTAGTCTAAATATTTAAAATGTAACAATATAAAAAATATATATCCCAACCCTCTGACACAGATATCACTATTATCCCCAATTTACATTGGAGGATTTGACTGAATAACAGAGATAATAACTGGAAAAATGAGGGTCCAAATTGGCAGCATGGCTCTTGAGCATATATCCCTCTTGGAAAAGCAAACACCCTCTTTTTAAAAACTCAGGCAGAGGGGCTGGGGTGTGACTCAGCGGTAAGGGGCTTACCTAGCACATGCAAGGTGCTCGGTTGGCTCCTCAGCGTCACATAAAAAATAAATAAATAAAATAAAGATACCGTGTCCAACTAAAACTATATATATATATATATATATATATATATATATATATATTTTTTTTTTTAAAGGCTTTAAAAAAAAACACATGCAGAAATGAGCCAAGTACTGTTACCTGCAAAAGTCTTTTTTTTTCCCCTCATGGCCCTTTCACAAAGTACACAGGGCTACACCTCCAATATTCTAATATGAAAAAATATATATTATAATATGGGACTATCTTCCTTAGCACAACTCCACTGACTTCTACTTTGCATTCTTCCCCTCCCCACAAAGACCTCATAYTTCCCACTGCAGAAATCAAATTCACTACCTTCAAACACAGTGTAATAGAGAGCTAAGTTTTGGAGATAGCCTGGGATTTTAATCAGAATTCTGTCATTTACTGTGACCTGTTTCCTCATCTGTTAAGAAAAAGGCCTGTCTTGGAGTGTTGATAGAAGAATTGACTAAACTAGTTATAGTATGCTCAGCACAGAAAGTATTTACTAAACAGTATGTATTTTTTATAAGAACAAGCAGCAGCCAGTGCTGCTATAGCAGGGTCCTCCAGGCTGGAAGAGTGGCTGTTACAGCTATCTTTCAAGCCCAAAAGCATGCAGTCCTTTCCAGCTCTTACCCTGACTTAGTTTTAATCTCCAGCACGCCTTATCATTCTTCTTTGCTTTATTTTTCTCCATAATATTTACTACTATGTTACCTTATTGCATCTATTGTTTGCCTTCTCCATTCAAAATGTGCATTCTATAAGGGCAGGGATTTTTGTCTATTTTGTTCACTACTGTACTTCCAGCATCTTGAACTGAACATAATAAACTTTAATGTTTATTGAATGAAAAACTCCCTTCTGCCTATGCATGTCTTCGGGATATATCCTCTCCTTTACACTCGGAACACAAATGTTATGTCTGCTAATTTAATTTTTAAGTTTTGGCAAGGACAGGTGGAAGGTGAAGTCCTGGAAATGTCCACCCTTTCGGTCACTCACCATTTCCCCGCCTCGCTCCCCCACCAACTATCATTGTTTAGGCCAATCTCCAGATTCTGTCTCTTCTTTTTGACTATGCAGAACTCGCAGACAAACCAAAATTCAGCGCCAGACTGAATCTGATAAAAAAGAGCTAGTTGTTCATTCATTGTAAAGCAGTAATTGAGAGTGCTAAGCACTAGGACTACAAGGAAAAGAAGCCCATAGACACCTTACAGTCCAAGGGTTGCAAGGAGGCAGCAAACACCAATACTGGGAAGTAAGTGTTAAGCACAGAAAAGCAAAGATTAAAACCAAGTCTGCAAAGTGTGCCTTTTCTCGGCCCCGCGCCGCCTCCCGTGGGGCTTTGGGCTTCGTGTGTCTAGTTGCTTCCTTCCTGTGGGCCCACCTCTGAGATAGCTGTATCCAAGAAGCTTCTCTGTGGTTAAGGAAACAGCCCTTCATTCCTTAGTCCCTCGCTTTCCTCCCCATGAGTAACCTCCACCCCACTCCCACCATTAACTTCCCGGCCCCTGCCACGCCGCGAACATCAGCCACAGCAGGACTCACTCCGAAGACTCGATTTCGATCGACATAGTGGTAAATTCCCAGCAGCAGGCCCCACTCCACTCCAAGACCCAGTCGCGCAACACACCGACACCTCCGGCGGCTACCTTACGTCACTTCCGCTGGGTGTCGGACGCCCGCCCTGGAGGTGGTATGAACGGAAGGCGGGGCGTGGTGTGCGTGGGGGCGGGGCCTCTGGTCGACAAAGATTTCCGCTTAGAAGCTCTGGGTGGGAAATTTTGCTTTCATTTAATGCAATTAATTGATTAGAATTAAAGATGGGACTGAATTCAAAATACCTGATTAGGAAATTACTACATCTTAAACCAATAGAATACTAACCAGCATTCCTAGAAGGATTTGAGTTAAAAAAAAAAAAGGACAAACCAAAACAGTTTAATCAACCTAAGAGATGTTTGAGGATTTGCATACCCACGTCTTACTTATCGTATTTTATTTCCCACTAAGTACTTAGTTTAAAAGGGTTGCACCGCAGTGGAACAGTTATTAGAAAACTAAGCAAATGTGTAAAGAGATTTGAGACTCCTTTTAATAAACTTTAAATAATACATTATTAAATCCATAATGACAAAATGTAGAGATATCAATGAATTTCATAAATAAACACTATTTTTAAAATATTGATGCATATTTTAAAAACTGCTTAAAACAATGATGAATCTATGTTGTGAAATTACGTATTCAAATAAATAACTTGGGGCTGGGTGTGGCTCAGTGGTGGAGTGCTTGTCTAGCACACATGAGGCACTGGGTTGGATCCTCAGCACCACATAAAAATAAAATAAGGTATTGTGTTCACCTACAACTAAAAAATTAAAAAAGAAAAAGAAAGAACTTATTTGGGGAGTTCCTATACAATTTCACTCTTATCTGAAGTTGTATCTGCCACACAACTTTTTTCTTTGTAGTATCTCTGTCTCTGTGTCTGTCTCTGTGTTGTCTCTCTCTCTCTCTCTCTCTCTCTCTCTCCCTCTCCCCCTCCCCCTCTCCCTTTCCCTCTCTATGGTTCTGGTTATCAAACCCAGAGGGTTTGCACTGTACACTTTTCACATTGTCCTTTATTTACCATCAACCTCACCTTATTTTTCTCAGTACTGGGGATTTAAACCAGGGGTGCTTTACCACTGAACTACATTTCCAACTCTTTTATTTTTTTATTTTATTATTATTATTATTATTATTATTATTATTATTATTATTATTATTATTATTATTTGAGTCAAGGTCTTGCTGACTTGCTGAGATTGATCTCAAACTTGTGATCCTCCTGCCTTAGCTTCCCCATTCACTGGGATTACAAGAATCCATCACCACTCCCAGGACCTCCAAACAAAAAGAGGGTAGAAAAGGGAAGGAGGGAGAGAAGAAGAAAGACGAAAGGGTATAAACTGCAGGGATTTGGGGCTGGAACTGTATTCTGTTTACCTTGCTTGCTGCTTGAGAAAATCTCTAGTGCCTAGTACTTTATTTCATGTCAGAACTTGTTATTTACTGCTGTGCCTGTGGTTTATGCATCCGTGTCAGTCAGATCATGGACACCAACCTTAAGACATGAAATGTTACTGTACATGAGGATACAAATCCTTTGCTTCTTAAATGTTTTGAATTTTTTTTAATTTAATTTAATTTTTTTGTAAGGTAGTAGGGATTTAACCTACAGTTACTGTATCCATTGAACTATATCCCAACCCTTTTTATTTTTTATTTTAAGACAGGGTCTACTAAGTTGCCCAGGTTGGCTTCGAACTTGCAGTCCTTCTGCTTCTGCCTTTGGAGTAGCTGGTGTAATAAATAGGCATGCAACACAAAGCATTGTTGATGTATTGAATTTTTAATCTCTGATTGACAGCTAGTGCCTCTGTGCCCCTGCTTTCTTCATCTATTTTTCCTCTGAGAAGTTGGATTGGATTATGATGTTTTTGTTATCATATATAATAAAACTGCACTCTTTGCTTTTTTGCGTGTGGTACTGGGGATTGAATCACAGGCCTACCATACACTAAAGCGGCACGCTGCAATTCAGCCACATATCCATCCCTGAAACTGCAATTTTCCTAGTTAGGGAAAAACTAGTTTTTATATAAGTATCCCAACTATGTAATCAATTTCCATCTCTTTCCAGACCTAGAAGCATAGCTTTTGTTACTTTGTTGATCTCTTGTTAGCAAGTTGATAAACTTTGCCAATTTCTAAAGATCCCTTTGTCTAGGGAACTTTATTTTTAACACTAGACAAGTGAGGTCTCTTATACTTCCCTCATCCATATATGGACAAAAAAATCTCAAACAGGCACACAAAGAGAGACAACTTCTAACCTCTAAACCAGACAGTTGTATTCCCCAGGAATCTTCCCATCCCATTCTCAGAGACTAAGTCAGAGATTTCTGGACATGATTTCTAGAACAAACTGCCCATAGTAACACTGAGGGAAATCCTACTCATGTCCCCACTTTTCCAGAAAGCTGACCCTTCCCAGAAGTCCATTATCGCCAGTTCACCTCCTTAAGCCAGCAGAGGGCAGGACAGCCACAGAAAAGCTACCATTGGAAACCCTGGTTCTAGATGTCTTAACTAGTTATTAAGAAGAGAGAGGAGAGAGATCCCTGGATAAAAGAAGTAGAAGGCAAAGTCAATATTTGAGAGCCAAACTGGGTGAAAGTTTGACTTTACTTCCTTCTAAACAAGACCAATTTCACCTCACATGATAAGGCAAAGACTAGAGAAAAATTACCACATGATTCTACTTGCTTGTGGCTGGACGTGACTCAGAGAATTTTCTAACACAAACTACAAACTCCTTTTTTTTTTTTCCCCAACACTGGAGATTGAACCCAAGGCCTCACACATGAGGGGCAAGTGCTCTACCACTGAACTTCATCCCTAGCCCTTCTTATTCTTTTATTTGAGACAGTGTCTAACTAAATAGCCCAGGCTGCCCCCAAACTTGGCATCCTCCTGCCTTGGCCTCCTGAGTAGTTGGGATTACAGTGCCACCATGCCCAACCAACCTCCTCCTTTTTAATGCCTTCTTCCACCCCAGGGTATGAATTTCTACATCATCCCTGACAAAGAACTCTCATCTTTTTTGTATACCTACATGAACGAAAGCCATATGGTCCAACTTGGCACAAAATATGCTTTTCTTTGACACCCAAAAAGTAACCTGTTCCTTTCAGAAATTGCATTGTGTACCTGACCTCTGCACCAGAAAATGAAATTCTTCTCATGGGTCAATTTTTTTTTTTTTTAAGAGAGAGTGAGAGAGGAGAGAGAGAGAGAGAGAGAGAGAGAGAGAGAGAGA